TTAACATGTATTTCCATAGTGTTTGATTTTGGTATGCTATTTGAATTGAGCAAGTTTCCTGTAAGCTTACTTAACCAAACATATTTACGTGTTATCTGCTGTACTATTAGTGCCCTGACCTGTCCGCCACATTGCATTACAGACCTTTAGGTCTACGTTCAGCAACTGAGATTTAAAAAACAAAAAACCCTTGTACTATTTTTGTGAATGACATCATGATTTGTTTTATTGTCCGTCAGACAACAACATCATTTGCTTTGTTAGTTACTGGATGCCTCTGAAAGCACACAACAAAACTGGCTTAGCGACAAATGCACCGGAACAATCAACCATCCAGCCCTGGCAACACAAAACGCAGGAATGTTTTACGCCCCGCGTGCATACTCGCTGGATGTCATAAGGCGTGCTCTGACGTGCATCATCGCAATACGTTAAACATCTCTCTGACGTCAGATTATTGCCGCCAGGTTAAACTTGACGTCACGAAACGCACGAGGCAGATTTAGGACGACCTGTCGGTGTAGGTTCAGATCAGCCCAGCGCAGTCAACATGACTTGCAAGCCACCTGCGCTGACGTCGGCAACTTAATCATCGTCAACAAACGCACCGCCCAAGTAAACAATGCAGTGCAATCTGCATGACAATTCAGGTTCACACCAACACAAAGGCAACTATCCCCCATTTTGCCTCATATATACATATCATAGACGCAATGCTCATGAAAGGCTGACGTTGTCTTTGACATACTGGAGAGAAAGAGGAAACATAAATTGCCTAAAACATGAGTAGACACTGGCTGGGGAGCAATACTGAGATAAGAGCCCAGCGAAATCAGAATTGCATGCGTTAAAATCTTGGTCATGGCTGAACTCAGCCCACCATCCCACAATGAATGATGAATTAAGGGCAATGATTGTGTGGCTTTTGCTCTTTGAATGCAGATTGTCCACTACTGGCTCTGGGGCACAAAGACACACGAGCACACCCGAATGGGTATTTGGAAATGTAGACACTTTGAATGTTTGTTCCTGACATTTCATTTACATAATTTTAACAGCTTGATGGCTAATTATAATTTGTATTAGACAAGCTTTGAGTGTTCGTCCAAGGTGTAAGCTGTCACAATATTGGGCTCAAAGGCATGAATGACAGCAGAAGACAACTCGTGAGATCCCACAGGTAACATAGTGCATACATATGTTAGTGTGTGTGTTCATGTGTGACAGGTGTCCGAGTGATTGGCGCGTGACCCCCTTTGGGGGTGCACTCTGCACACGTTTAACTTACAAATGCCGTTTCAGCATAATGCAATCAAACCGGGTGTCCTGGTGGTGAGATGTTGACTAACTCGCCTGGTATACAAGAGGTCGTGGGTTCGATCCCGACCATGATGCCTGTATATTTGGAGTTTGCATGTTCTCCCTGTGGTCACGTGGATTTTTTTCCGGGTCCTGCGTTGTTTCCCTCCACGTTCATAATAAACACGCGTTTTGAGTATTTGGCTGCTATAAATTTCCACATGATAAGCCACTTCGTTGAGCAATCACTTGCTGCAAAGTTGCTTCTGCAAAATAGCTATAGAGCTCAGTGGGCCTTACATGGTATTATACAAACATTGTTTAGTTTTAAGAAGCAAGCCCTACGCGTAGCATGTGGATATACAAAGGTCGGTCGTCGTGACATCGCTGGCATCAGCTTCCATGGGCTCTTCTCTAACACACTAGTATCGCGTGTTTTTGTTTTGGTTGTAGCGTTCTTAGCCGCACCTACTGGACGTATGTGAAAAAGAGCTTGATAGCTCATAGGATTTCTCCAGGATCAATAAATATTCTGATTTTGAGTCGCGCACTCCTCTTCGAAATGGATTGTGCATCTAACGACGCAAAGCTTTTTGCAGATTTTATTGAGAAAACAGTAAACAAGGACTAAATATTGTGATTTTGCCTCAAGTAGAGTTGATTAAAAGCTGCATTAGCATTTAATTTTTGCGTAAAACTTAATAATGAGTGAATGAGTATATCAATGAATTGTGTGCAAGTGAGAAATCAACACAAACATGGGACAAATATTGTACAAGGCTGCACAATAATCAGGCTTTATATTAGTGTAGGGATGTTAGAGAGAGGGCCGTTATGTATGGCAGTCTATGGGAAAGAAACACAGTGGGCGGGGCTACGTGTGTGCACAGGGAGATGCCCTCTGCGACGTCCGAGCCAGACACCCTGGGGGGGGCTGGTTTGGCGTTATGATCCCCCGGGGCCCCACCCCTCAAGGAGGGTTGGGTATAAAAGGGGACGTTATATGGGCTCGGGGGCAGTTATGTTATAGTTAACTAAGAAGACTGAAGACGTCTTAGATAGAGCCCTGGACTCCCCTCGTTCGATGTCCTTGTCAGGGCCGAACAGGACCGAGCCAGCGGCGTGGTCCCGAAAGCCAGAGCCGGTGCTCTTCTAAGAGCTGGTCTGGGACTCCGGGTACCGGCCCGACTTACCAGTGTCGGGCCAAGTAGCCTCCCCTAGCCCAGTAGTGGAGGACTGTGAGGCAGGCTAGGACTTAGCTAGGAAGAGTATCCTTAGCTAGTCGGGTGAGGGGGCCGATACCCCCTCCAGTGCTGTATGTCACATACGAGCTTTGTTGAATAAATATCCGTGTGCCTCCACCTCGGCGTCAAGTGTCTTCACCGGTACTTCATTAGCATTATTCATTGTTAATTATATTATACCAACAGCTAGTAATTGATGTAGATTTATGTAATTCTTCCATCATATCCCAATGTGGACAGACTCCGTCTATGATTCGAATAACAGTACGTCTCTCATGGCCAGATTGCTGAAAGATCAAATCTGAGCAGGGGGCTCAACTCAGGCCATTACCTCTCTGGGAGCAATGAAGTAAGGCACCACCTTTGTCGACACGTAAATAGACTGGCTCCTACCATGCTAACGTGACAAATTCACCACTGGCTCAGAGTCACCAATAAGATTTGAGCCCTGCCTCTATCAACTGAGAAGCTCGTTGATCATGATTTTTTTTATCTTAAATACATTGTTAAATGAAAATGTTAAATTTTCCTTTTGAATACAATTTGAGATACATTTTTTTAAAGACAAGAATACAATTCTAGATTTGAAGTTTTCGTGACTGCAAGGATTCATACTCTTTGGTTTTTTCGGTAAAGTCAAATAGGTAAAAAATTGTGTTGCCTCCGAAACGTCGTGATATTATTTATTAAAAATGTTTTCCTACGTGACTTTACCAAAAAACCCAAAGAGTACAAGAATACAATATAATCACATGTACTCCAAATGTAGACACAAGATATTTTCATTGTGGTCAGTGCATATGATGCCATCTTGTGGTATCATGTGGAACAATCCGAGTGTATTTGCCATGGGGAAGTCGCGGAGAGTGACCTGAGCGATTTCTGGACTCAATGACAGGTCAGTCAAAAATACGAAATCCCTTTAATCTTGAACGGAGAAGAATCCGTGGGGCCTTAATTCAACGACTACAAAACAGGAAATAACATCGACAAAGTCGTTCCCGGCGACTACTACAATACTTCAAGGTCAACGCAGAGGGGAGAGCCAAAGGCCAAGGGTGGAACCTGCGCATAGGAAAGTTCCGGACCAAGGCCAGGAGGCGAAAGTTCCGGACGCGGAGTGGTGGCAGTCTGGAACCGACTGCCCCCAAACACGCGGTGGAAGCCGATTCACCGGGACTATGAAAGAAACGCCTCAATGGGATCATAGAACCGAACGAGCTAGACGGACCGAATGCCGCCTCTAATTTGTAATGTACAGTATTATTATTAATAGTCTACACTAGGGAAGTGGTTCACAACGTGTGGTCTGCAAACCACGCTGCTGGTCCTCTCTAGAGCTGGGTATGTGGCCTACTCTTCCACTCTGGTTAGGTGATTTGGAAGTGTTGAGAATATGAGTACCCACGATTTAGCCCACAACACGCGACCAGCCGAACGACAAACTGTGACATTTTTTGTTCTCCTAAACTTTTCTTAATCTATGAAATAAGTTTGCATTTCACTCTACGATGGTATCTTTCTTACCTCGCTATGGCTCGCCTGATATTTCACGGACTATTGTATAAAAAAATTACGGACCACAATTGCTGTCGAGAAAACAAAGAATTATCTCAATAAACTCTAACAAAATGCAGAAGGAAGCAACATCTATTTGCTAAATGAAGTATTCTATATATTCTACATTGCATACCCCACTCCAAATATGCATTTGCCGCAACGTACATGACATAAATTCCTCTCAATCTTTTATAACCTCGATAGACTTTCAAAAAAACATTGCTATCTTACCTAAAAGTGAAGGTGGTATTTATATTTCTACTTATTGTGTGACACTTTCAAGGGGACAATGCAGCATAAAGTCGCACAGAAGTAACCACACAGAGCAAAAACGTATCTTAACATTTGCCTTCTCAATGCGTTCCTCTTTAGATTCTCCCACATGCAGATTATGTTACTGAACTTGAATGAATGGATATACTGCATGTAGCTGAGCAAACTTTTTAAATGCAAAGTTGTTTTCAACCCCTCATTTTATCTTGATTTCTAATTAATGAGTATCATTTGTTCGACATGTTAACAATCGGGGCCTTGTTAAGAACACTGATATACTCAGGAACCCCATTCCTAAATCAGACCGGTATTTCATTGACATCCAAATGACGTAAGTGGGACAACCGCAAAACAGAATTGCCACCTACGAGGCAGCCTCGTGCCCATTTGCAGGCCGGTGCCGCGTACATCTTGCGCCGCACATTAGAACAGTTCAGATGAGACATGATGTACAGCACCTTTGAGTTGCTGAGGAATTTCTGAATATTAGAAAATGTATTTATACTGGAGGAATCCGATCTTTTTAATAGATGTCCAGGAGTGAACTGTGAGTGTTAATCCTAAAAAAAAGTTCCTTCTGCCTCCCCCCCTCTCTCCGCCCCTCCTATCCAATCCATCTCTCACCAAGGTCCAGGATGATTTGGCGCAGCACCAACACGTCCACCACATCGCTGGTCACCGGTTTGGGCTCCTTGGCGGAGGCATTGGCATGATGCTCCATGCCGCTCTGCCGAGGGCTGCCCACCACGTAGCGCACTTGCCTGCTCTCCGGCTCCAGGCTCAACATCTGCACACTGGGCACCCCAGAAGAGCAGCAGCAGAAGCAAGGCACGTCACGCTCTGGACAGCAGCGGGGATTGTAAAACGAAGTGCCAGGTGCTGTGCGCGCACACACACGCGTACAATGAGGGTCCCGTTTCCATCTTGTCGACCCTGACAGGCAAGTGCTGTAGGCAAGGCAGGTGGACCATACACACAATAGTTGAATATCCCCTGTCTCGCCAGATTTTTGGGGCAAGTGCTGTTCGTGAGGACCTTTTAAAACTGGGCAGAGAACACAAACAGGTGGTGTGGCAGCCACACTGCCAGCTGCCTTTGTCTCTCCAATAATAATTTGTCGACGCCACGCCAGGCGTTGATTTAAGGCCGAGTCTCTTCAAGGGAGGGCCAGAAATTATATTCGGATACCGTTTGCCACTGAAGATTGGAGGCTGTTAACTTTTACAAACATTATTTGCCTTCTCAATGTCATTTCACTTGTGCGAGTGACACCATTCCATGAAAGAAAGAGTATATTTGGAACTCTCGAAGGGGTACACATCACTTAAGGCCCACGGAAGGAGGTATCAAAGACCTGCTTCTGAGATGCCATCAAGTGGCCCCTTATCAACAATAGGAGTGTTGCACTTTTTCCCACGTGCTCAGCTACAGAGTTCGTTCGTTTCTCAGTCTGCTTATCCTGGTGAGGGTTGCGGCTACAGAGATGTCCATGAAACTGAAATGTCTTGCTCACATGAAGTGCTAAACCAAATTTGATCAAATATTTTGCGTGCAGTCATTGGTCATCAAAATTGAGGCCATCAACTCACGACAGTTGCAACTTAGATTAATTCAAATGTGGATGAAACTTGGATTCAAATCCAGGATCTCACACCTCAGTCACCTAAGCATCTCATTAACAGGAACTTCAATTTTATCCAGATTGGTATCATTTCGTGAGACAAAAGTATAAATGTGGATCTCTCCTAGAGCAGAGCAGACTTTTGATTTAAAGAATGGCCCATGGACGTGGCTATGACAGAGCTATATCTGAGACGCCTTCAAGCAATCTCTGGATCACACAGTAGAGGGCCGCACTTTCTTGATCTGCTCTTCATTGAAGGGTAACGTTCATCACATCAAAGTTCAAAACAATATTTAAATTTTCGATTTAAAGCTTTCGTGACTGCAGGGATTCATCTTCTTGGTTCTTTCGGTAAAGTCACGTAGAAGGGAAATAAAAAAAATATATAATGTTTTCTTTTTATTATTTTATTATTTCCCTTCTACGTGACTTTACCGAATGAACCAAGAAGATGAATATTTTAATTCTCAGACCTACAATTTAGCCAAACCATGGGTGTAGAATAAAACTGAATGTGATCGTTAATTTGTGCAGTCGTAGGTGACAGGGCTGAGACCATCACTGTGCAGTAATACCCCGATTTACGTATCGCCCTTATAAGACGTTTCACAAATACATCGTCACTTGATAAACACAGCTCCCTGATTTGCGTTGCCTCAACCCGCACTGACGTCGCTTGCAGCATCGTCCGTCCTTTCTCGTATGTCACCTCAGCCTTCCCCTCCACCACCTACCCTGTACATCGCTTTGATTGACGTCGTTTCGATATTCGTCGTGGCACCCCTGAGGAACGCATTCCCGACGTAAACCGGGGTTATTACCGTACCCGAGAACCGGGTTTAATCATGGGCAACTCGCCACATTCAAACCCAGAATCTGGACGGTGCAAGACATTTGTGACAATTCACATTACTTTTACAAACACGGTGTGATAACAACAACCGCCATTCGCCACTAAGTGGCCGTGACGTCACCACGTCGCTTGTGCCAGGCTATGTACACGTGGAGGCCACGTGAAGTGTCGAACGCCCGCGGGCAGGAGGTCACGGGGCAGACCCATGTGCCACAGGTCGACTGACTGAGATGACTGGCTGATGCGCCACCTGTGCCCCCTGTTGTGCCAACTTGCTGTGCTTTAGCCACCCTGGCGCTCCGCTCGTTGTTGTGAGCGTCGCTCCTCTGCCCTCCGTTGTTGTTGGAGGGCGACTGCCTCCAAATGCCCAGTAGCGTCCTTCACGAGCCTCCTCCACAGAGGCCGATCTTGACACCGCTGGTACCAGTCATCGGCAAGTCCACTCAGCTACACATCCTCTCGTACCACATCATTCCATCTCTTCTCTAGCCCGTGCCACGCCCGTTTAACCCCCTCTATCAGGCCGAACAAAAAAGCTGTTTAGGAATGCGGTGGCTGGGCATGCGGGCTACATGACCCAGCCAACAACAACAACAACAACCCCTATCTCTCTCAACAACAACAACACTCGCAGCTTGCTGGCAGCGGACGCGTGACACAGAGGAAGCCGCGTTTACCCTCTCTGAGCGAGCGACGGGCTGCCCGGCAGGGGCGACTCCGAGCTCTGCGATTCCGTGCGTTGACGCCGCTGGCTGTTGTCTGCCTGGCAGAGCGTGGCCAGTGCCATGTGCACGCTGTACTCGCTCACGCCCAGGTCCACCAGCTGGCGGCGGATGCCCGAGACGCACTCCTGCGGAAGATGCGGAACGTTCGACGCGGTGGCGTGGATGTTGACTCCCTCGCCAGGTGTGCAGGAGGTCGTAGGTTTCGTCGTGAGTTGGAGCCCGACCCTGTTCTCTCCGGGTCCTCCGGTCCCCCCCCCCCTCCACGTGTATAATAATTATCAACATGCGTTTAAATTTGTTCTGGCTGCTATACATTTCCACATGATAAGCCACTTCGTTGAGCTGTCGGTTCTGGCAAGTTCGCTTCTGAACAAGAGCTAATAGCTTATTGGCTTTTACCTGGCAAAATAAAAAAAAATGCCTTAGTTTAATGTCTCCTCAGTGGCAGAGCGAGGCTTTTTTTTAATCCTTTATATTAAGTTCACTTGCTTGCTTGCGCGCTTACGACCGTGCAAATCTTTCGGTCGTTTTTCAACCCACTTCCCGTGATCCAATCCAGCTGACATTTTGCACACAGACTCGTTGTGCGTGACAATTTATTTTCGTGAAAAAAAATTCCAAAATTTTCCACTTTTTAGGAAGAAACAAAAATTCATATTTAATTTAAAATACCAATGTGATAAAAATGAAACTCTTACTCAAGAAAAACAAATGAATAATAAAATAAAACCGATGCCACGCATATAAATATTTATAGTGAAAAACTTTGTTTTTACGGGTTAATTTTTTACGATTGAGACCCAACACCCCCTTAGTTTTGTGGACAAGGCCAACAGCCACTGCTACTACAAAGACGAAGATCCCCCCCCCCACCCACCCCGTCTTGCCTTGAACAGACTGTCGGAGTGAGTGTTGTTAGCGAGAACCTCCTCAGGTGGGCACGGCGCCATGACAGGACACAATGATAAATTACGTGAATTCATTATGTCCTGCTACAGCGGACTCGGGGGTGGGTGGACCAACACCACTCCCGGCCGCCTTTGTCTCCCCATTGCTGATGTTTACATACCGCACCAAGTAGGGTACACATTTAAAGCACATCAACGGTCAGCGATATACAAATAAGCGCAGAGACAACGACATTTACAAAGGGAAGCACAGTAGCACCCACCCATATGGCCTGCGTGCCACGGTGGCGAGATGTTAACTACTTTGACCTGGTATACAGAAGGTCTTGGGTTCGATCTCAAACCTAACGCCTGCTGTATATTTTGGGTTTGCATGTTGTGATATACATTTCCACGTGATAAGCCACTGTTTTTGAGCTTTAATTTGTGCCCAGGTCACTTCTGAAAAGAGCTGTATAGCTCAGTGTGCCTTACCTAGTAAAATAAAAAAAAGTTTAGTTTTTAGTTTGAACAATGGGCACGCTTCTTAATTCCCCACACCTGTGCCCACCAGAGTAAGTCTATGAGCAGGTAGGGTACAATCTGGTTACCACCATACTTTCCTAGGACGTAAAAATGGGGTTCCCTCTAGCTCCCTCTAGTGGAGGCCCTTTCGGCAACAGTGGCGTGAGCAAGCAACTTCTGGGCTGCACCTCTCTGCTGTATATTGGTTTCTTCATTCTAAGCATAATGGTTGATATAATTGCTGTATAGCCAGACACCTCTATAAATGTTCTGCCATGCTGCGATGACCAATCGGCAAGAAGACCGCTTAGGCTGTTGAGCGGCGTTACGCGCTTTGCACACACCTTGCCGACAGTGAAGGGGCTTGCATGAGCACGGGTGGAGCGTGGGGACAAATAATGCACACATGTATGGCCGAACTTCTTTTGCACCGTATGTGGCCAACCGTGCTAATCAGAGGTGCGGGACAAGGACAATAAACTAAACACAAACAAAGAAATTATAAAGAAATTCGTTTTCAATCGAGATTTAAAAGTGCATTAGCTCTAGTGGCATCCAAATATTGGGAGGAAGAACGTTCCAGACGGCATCTGGAAGCGCGCGATGCGGTGACCGTCTGATGGTTCAGTGTTCTTCATCATCTGCTTGTTTTCCCATTTTCTGTGCAGTGGTTTATCATCAAGATACTTTTAAATAGTATCGTTTGAAGTAGCACGTGCTACAGATTTGAATTTCCTGAGGATACAGCCAAAACATTACGAGCCACTGTTTGGTGGCACGGTGAGAGTGGCAGGCTACCGTAGTGGTGAAGCAGCTTGCGTGAGTGGGGCGTGGGAACAAGCGATGCACGCACGCAGCGTTCAACTTCTATCGCACCGTACGTAGCCAACCGCGCTAATTCGGATGTGCCTTGCACCGCCGCAGCCCTCATCGTGAATCGAGCGCGCACACAGCTCACCTGGTAGTTGTAGGTGCTGGTCTCCTGCAAGATGTCGCTGCCGAGCAGACATTTCCAGAGGCGACCTCTCGTCTCTGGGGGCACTCCCTCTCTCACGAGAGCACGCAGCTGTGAAACGCACGCACGGACGCATGGAGATGGACCGCCATCCCGGCCAGGTACAACGCAAACACTTCTATCGAATTCGCACCATTGCATTATATGGGGGGCGGGGGGGGTACTCGTGGAGTATAATGCACGACGCAAGAGGCTACTGGCTCGCCTGGCGTACGGCCCATGTAAGTGTGGAGCAACATCTTTAATTTCACGTTGACGTTGTTGAACCGGACGATTGCGCGAGGAGAAGCAGAGTGGTGCATTGCCGTGACGACACATCCCTATCTGCGCATCGGGCATCGAGTCTGGTTGATTCCAGCGGTACACTGGTGGGGAGTTTGTGAATTTTTTTCCCATTTTTGTACATCATGTTTGCGTGTGGGTGACGCTCAGGGGATCGTGGCCCACGAGAACCTTTGCGGAAGATCGAAGGTCTTTCACGAGGAGGTGCTTGTTTGCCTGATGTTTTTTCGTAAATAACCCAGCAGCAGTTAAATTTCGATTTAAAGCATTCGTGACTGCAGGGATTCATCTTCTTGGTTCTTTCGGTAAAGTCACGTGGAAGGGAAATAATAAAATAATAAAAAATATAAAACATAATAAAATATGTTTTATTATGACTTTACCGAAAGAACCAAGAAGATGAACCAGCAGCAGTTGTTTAACAAACCCCGACTGACTGCTGGAGAGAGCCACAAGGTGGAAACCGGTCCAGAATTTGCTTACTTAGTAAATGCTGCTGGATAGTAGGGTGGACTGTAATGTTGTATTGGTACGTGGAGATATATACTGCTTATATATGTTTGCTTACAGATTACGATGCAATATTCTCATACAGAATCCTCATTTGGTTCAGGCGAATGATAAAACCGCCGACTCTCGAATGCTAATTCCTATTGCTCGGGGCTGTGTTTCAGCATTGTTCTGCCCTTTAAACGCACGGGTGTCATAGGGACAGCCAATCAGGGACGTGCTTTAGGCACACGTCAATCAATGTACTTAACATGTAAGCAACTCTTAACAGCTGCAGGCAAACGATTACTGATATCCATAATTGACCACAGGAATATTCCATATTACTGCTTTATAGAAAATGAAAAACACCAAAAATGTAAAATGAATTCCTGTGCTACTTACAGAGGTGTATATTACATAAATGAATGGACTCTTAGAATTAACAAATATCACTATTACACTTTTTTTTATAAAAACAATGGAAATTTGGTAAAGTAGGCAATGCGTTTGAAATTAAACGAAAGCTCAGGATATTATATAAAACTGTGCTCATAACGTAAACTGGTGTTGGCTGTTGCTCATCTTTAATTGCCAATCCTGAGACAGGGGATACAATTTTACTTCTTACGGGACTGGTGAATTAAATGTATTACATTAAATAAACTGATGATGACTAATGACGCGCACTGATGATTGAGGCGATGATTCGTGCTGGGAAAATGTTGACACGAGTCCAATAGAGACGTGTTTGATCCACACAATACACTTGGCAAAGGTCATTGAATCTTGCAAAGGTTATTGAATTTTGTCAAAGGTCATGGAATCTTGTCAAAGGCAATTACAGCAAATTAATTCCAATGAAGGCACATTTCTAAATGTTAAACATATGCAAAGTTTATACTCTTTGGTTCTTTCGGTAAAGTCACGTAAGTATAAAATAAAATAAATTAAATCATGACGTTTCGGGCGCAACACAAGCGTCCATCATCAGAGAGTATGGATCCCTGCAGTCATGAAAACTTCAAATCTAGATATGCAAAGTTTAACTATTCAGAGACAATGATTATGTATTTTTTTCCAAAACCCAATTACAAAACATATTACCTATTAAGTCACAAGGCCCACGATTGCAGGGGGTCGGTTGCTGGGATTCTCTCTCGACACGTGCTTCTACTCTGTGCCTCTTCTCTGATCACATCCACTATAATAATAATAGTTCAATTTGTAACGCGCGCAAATTTGCAGACGTAGTGGCCGCAACTCAGAGGTGCGGAGCCAAGCTCAGAGTCGCTCAAAAGCATGATTGTAGAGGTGAGTTTTTAAGTGTCTCTTGAAGGAGGCGATTGAGGTGATGCTGCGAATGTGCAGAGGGATATCGTTCCAGACTGTTGGGGCTGCCACCGAGAAGCGGCGCATAGACATGACTATCCTGGATCTTGGTATCAAGAGGAGGTCGTGAGTCGCGCTGCATAGAGACATAGACTCGCATAGAGACCCATAGATTCACATACAGATCCACAGACTCACATAGAGACCCATTCAGTCACACCCAATGTCCTCATATCATTTTCCACCACATCGTCCCGTTTCACTCTTGGCCCTCCTCTACTCCTTCCAGCCACATCTCCAGAGCTCTTCGAATCTCACCATTTGTCTCTTCTCAACACAAAACCATCTAGCCTTCCTCACCTTACTGAGAATACAACAGTATCATTGACTCTTTCCTAAAACCTGTAAATTCCTCGATTGAATACAAAATTCCATTCTAACCTAAAACTCGAGTCAAAGTCAACTCGAAATGTCTCCATTCTCTAATGCACGTGGGGTTGTGCCAGTGACGTGGTGGTAAAAAAACGGACCTGGATAAACGAACCTGTGGTAAATACCACAGTGTCCAACTACCCCACTCGGCTTTGCTCATCTACCTTGGCGGGCCACTCTATCCCATGAGATGGCCATCGTTGACCTTGCACAATGTGGTGCCTGTTTAATTGACGCCAGAGCGATGGTGTTCCTGACCGTGGTCTATCAAAGGCAGTGCTTCATTGCAAGGCCGGAGGGCCCACATGGCGGCCTTTAGTGCGGCCCACGACAATACACAACGTGTAAAAATCTAGATTTGAAGTTTTCGTGACTGCAGGGATCCATACTCTTTGGTTCTTTCGGTAAAGTCACGTAGGTATAAAATAAATTAAATCACGACGTTTCGGGCGCAACACAAACTTCAGCAATTGTTTCTTGTTGTGGTTGTCCCACCTGATGACGGACGCTTGTGTTGCGCCCGAAACGTCGTGATTTAATTAATTTTATTTTATACCTACGTGACTTTACCGAAAGAACCAAAGAGTAACGTGTAAAAACACCGCTTGCCCACGCACTGATGATGTCTGATCGGCGAAAGTATCCCTCCCCCCACTCCGCCCACTCAGAAAATGAGTGAAGAACGCTGCTCTCAGCCGGCACAGGTGGCGCTGAGTGGTGGGGCCCGAGGTGGATTGTTTACCCAGCGCTGTGGAGCGGTGGGTTTGGGAGCAACGTGTGGCATGCGGCCCGGCTTGCGAGTGGAGATGCTTCCTCCTCTTGGCTTGCGTGCCGCTTTGACTGGTGCACTGAGCTTGGTGCCTTGCAAGTGTGGAACTCGTCAATTGGCGACAAGGATTGTTTCAATTATTCGTCCACGAAAGCCACCCCGAGTCGTGGGACTATTTTTTTCAGGTGGGCCCTGCGTTGGGTTTTTCATTTCAGGATGTTTTCAGACAATTAATGATGTAGGAGGAGACCAAGAACGCCAGAAAAAAAACTCCATGTGTGCGAGGGGGCAACACTCTATCCAGGTACATGTGTAAAGAGATGGTCCACTTGCTGTACTGCCTTCTCCTGGCGAGCCAGAGTATGGACCAGGGGGATGGCGGATCGCACAAATGTCGTGACACTACCTTCCTGTAGGCATCGAGGTCTCATACTCTGGCTTGCTTTGTTGTTGTTTGACTTGCATCCCACTGGGATTTTTGCACAGCGTTGGTGTACGGTGCTTTTTTTCCAGAAGACTTTGCAGTTTTTTCCTGGATTTTTCTGTTTGTGCATAGTCACTTTAAGATGTTTTCTTGTTAATGTTTGTGTTTTTTGTTTGTTGCGGTTGCACCCGATTCAAGAGCCGAATGGCTTACAGGGCTATACCAAATAAATGAAACTTAAAACTGAAAAGGCGGAGCAGAAAATGTGCGCACCACCTGTTCCATCTGTATGAGATGCAGTGTTTCCCCCCTCGCCAGCATGCTTTTTCTCCGAGTGCCCTGGTTTCCTCCCACATGTAAACAGTAAATCATTTGCTGATAACGCTTTAGTACATAGAGGGCCACGGAGCTTGGGCAATCGTTGGCTACAGCTCGCCGCGTGGCTTCTGCTAGCGTGCACGTTATCGGTTCAAATAGTTATACAAAATAGGAGCCGAAATTCAACGCGGAATTGCTCTGTATCTCACCTTGCTGAAGCTGAAGGTGTTTGTGTTGCTCCAAGACTCGAGCAGCTCGGCCCAGGCGGAGAGACGGCCGCCTGATGTCTGCGGGTGGCTGCACGGCAACGAAAATTGCATCATTTGACTGTGGCAGCAGCAGAGGTTGAATCGAAGACCGCAAATATCCAACAGTCAAAATAAAAAGTCGAAAGTATCTGCTTGCTCCAATGATGATGGGTACCGGTACAGGTGCAGCCCTGTAACTGTTGGCTCACGCCACTGCTGACAGAAGAGCCTTCTCCATTCGAAAGAGCTCATCTTAGAGCGAATTTTGGCCTTCTCTTCCACGTTAGCCAGACGTCTTGAAACAGGTGGGTGTACCCACACTTTATCCGACGACACGCAACTTGCCAATCGATTCACTGTGGTATACCCAATTATACAGCTGGGATGGCAGAGGTGGGGGGAGGTTTATACAATTCTGGATTGCAAGTGCAGTGTGCTAAACGTTTCACCATGCCATAATTTACTTCAGATGATAATAATGACCTATTTATCCAGGAATGCCTCAAGTTGCTTCTGAAAAATATTTTAATAGCTCAGTAGGCTTTACCTGGTAAGATAAAAAAAATTTTTTATTAATTTGTCTATGTTTTAAGTGATTTGTTTACCTTTCCTATACTTTGCACTCCTATCGTATTTATTTATTGTTTGTTGTTGTAAAGTTCTGACCCACCCTTACTGGCCATATGCGAAAAGAGCTTCATGGCTCATCGGATTCCTCCAAAATAAATACAGATTCTGATTGTGCTCGTTGCAGGAAACGGTCGTGCCCAGAGAAAACTCTGACATCAATCACTGAAGGCCGTAAAAGCTCCACACAGATGGATTCAATCAGCTGCTCGCTGGGCCGCTATCTCCTGGTCACCTCGCAGCCCATCAGCTTTGGGAGTTCTACAAATATCTGTGTGAAATACAAACGTATATGTTTCCTTCCTAAACTTCGATTCAATGTGGGTTCGCTATGCAGTACGTGTGAGTTCATCCCAGCCGGCGTTTCACGATAAAATATGACAGGTGATATAAAACGTAGTGTAGGTTACTTTTTTTGGGTTAGACGGCACAAATTGAAATGTGTCGTTAAGCCCGTCACCACACGACATAGTCAATGAGTGAGTTTTGTCACGTAGACAAAACATGGCAATGCGTTACGAGTACAGCACACCGGTGTGTTGGAGAGTAAACGCACAACATTTACCATTCGAGTACTGTGACGTTTCGCCAGTAATTGCAACTAGCCTCATCAGGCGACAGCCAGATTTGTGGATAAATCTTCCACAAATTCGAGTAACGAATTGACATTTTTCGATTTGAAGCTTTCGTGACTGCAGGGATTCATCTTCTTGGTTCTTTCGGTAAAGTCACGTAGAATGGAAATAATAAAATAATAAAAATAAAACATAATAAAATAATTCTCACGACGTTTCGGCCACAACGCAAGCAGCCGTCCTTAGGTGAAGAACAGGTCTGTCGGAAAGACAGACCTGTTCTACGTGACTTTACCGAAAGAACCAAGAAAACGAATTGACATGTTTTGTTTACGTGACAAACCTTACTAATTGGCTGTGTTCTCTATTATGAGCAAATAACTTATACTACTTTTATGGTCATGAACGCCTACGTGTTAAACGTTACTTGTTGTTACTGAATGCCCATGCAATGTGTGATCGGTGGCATTCAGTGAACTATGTAACAGTAAACAATTGCACCTCGAGTGTTTAATTTTCAAAGGTGAAACGAATGAGAATGATCTCAAGACCAGGCCCAAGTGCCCATTATCTCTTAGGGGTTGATCTATTGAGTTCCACTGTGTGGGAAATCAGTCCCTAGGGTTTCCACCTGGCTGGGTTTGTCCCAGATAGGTGGCAAGCCGATGACCGAGTCTCTGACATTAGACAGTCCAGGAATTGGCAGCTGTGTTCAGGTGGCAGCAATTGATTTGTACCAAGACCAGTTGGTATTGTGTTCAACTTTATGACAGTGTACTGCACAATTTTAAGAGACATAAGCTGACTGAGGAATGTGTCTGCATTTTGTCCACGGTGGAAAAGGTGGCCCACTGCTCCCTGCAATGGCAATGTGGAATTTCTACCGCTGACTCAGGCAACCGACATTGATCAACATAGCCTCAAAGTTCACTTGAGTCGGAAAAAAAAAGTATGACAGCTGCAATAACAATCGTTAACCTCGATGGGTAGGCGTCATGGTGGCGAGATGTTAACTACCTCGCCTGCTGTACAGGAAGTCGTGGGTTTGATCCTGACTCTGAAGCCTGAATATTTGGAGTTTGCATGTTCTCCCCGTGGTCGCGTGGACTTTTCCCCGGGTCCTCCGGTTTTTCCCTCCACATTTAGAAACATTAATATTTGTCTCGTATACATTTTTACATGAAAAGCCACTTCGTTGAGCTATAATTTCTGGTCCGGTCGCTTCTGAAATAAAAAGAATAGTTGAAATCGAACCACACCACGCTGTTGTAGACGGATTCCACTCGCAGTGGCTATTCTCATCTCTTGACGCTAGAGGGAAGCCTTCTATAGCACTGACACCAACAATGTGCAGTTTGCTCAAAGCAGTTTGTAACTTGAGAAAAAAAAGATGAAGTGGAATGTCAAACAGGTTTGCAGCTCAAATGCATATGGGGGTGGCAATCATTTGCCATGTAAGGCCCTGAGCCAGCGAGTAGTAGAAATCCCACGTCCATATGGTTGGGGGCAAGTATTTGCATACAACAACACCATCTGTTGATTTCTCCCACAAAGTGGTACTCATGTTATCGACGACAGATGAAATTAAATCCGAGTTGATGCACGACCGCCATTTGAATTTTCTACATTTTGATTGTGGGCGCGTGCCCACAATCGAAATAAAATTAGAATGCCAAAATAGACACATAATTCATACTGTGTAAATTAAGGGGCTTTATTTGTTTCGTATGGGTAGGAGAGAACACATAAATAGGCTTCTGCTCTGTGTCTTTACATACAACGACCCATTTGGCTTCCCAGACCAAAAGTATCCGGCAGCATTTGTTTAAGCGATACGAACCTGAACCGAAATCGCCCTTCTAGGTTCACCAGCAGAAGTCAGGCTTGCTAAGCGCAACCTGTTGGGGTGCCATTAGTTTGTGGCAAGAGCACTCCATCTAAACCGAGGGTTGGCAACTTGCAGCTCTGGAGCCGCATGCGGCTCTTGATGGAACTGCTTCGTGATGTTATTTACGTGCATTGCGGCTCATGAAATATTGAGCGGGTTTTTATTGCGGAATTCGAAAAAAAATTGCTCTCTTTGATATGTTGGTTGACGACCCCTGATCTAAACTACGAGACCCCGTTCAACGCAAAAGGCAAAACTGCAATAACATATACACATGCATAACACGTTGTTGTGTAGATTGTCAGGGCTTTGTCTTTAAGTTATATGGATAATAATATATATAATAAAATTCATAAACAGAACCCGATATGAAACATAAAATATGCTTTTCTCATCGGCCTACTGATTTTCCAAAACCACTATTATCTAGCAACGGGGTCAGTATGGGTGAGCCAATATTTGTATTTCTCTCATGTTCTCCCCCACCCTGGCGAGTGAAAGTCGGGCTCTCGGCCCATTCACGCTGACTCGCTGCTCAGACAGACCACGAGGCCACACGCGACGGCCGCGAGCAAACGTGCGCTGTGCGCGTTGTCGTCTCACCTGTACTCGTGCGTCCGATGCTGCTCGCTCCACTCCTCCGAGTACTTCCTGAAGATGGCAAAGCCAAACTCATCGAAGCCCAGCAGACTGCGTTTGCGGACGTGGCACCTTTTCACGAACTCCACCTCCTCCATCTCCTCCATCTCCATCATGGCCTCAATCGAAACCCACCCAGGTCTAGATTTGTTTTTTCCCCCTGCCGCTCGCAAAGCCTCACGCTGACTCAAACTTCAGTTTAGGTCGACCTAATTCACAACAACATTCACCGTACGGACCCCATTATTGCATACATACTTTCCAGGAATAAGCTTCTAAAGGGATGAATTCAACGAAAGCTACAGAACCAGCAGCTATTTAGATACAGTATATATACACAATCTCTTGTTCTCTTTGGCATTCGTCTCACTTCTTGGCTGTAACACGCCGCTGGGAATGACAGGAGCGGAGTTTGGAAATCGCACACGAGAGATCAGCGTGGCAGGGCTCTTGCCCGTCGTCTTACGCGGATGTGGCGGCTCAAGTGGAATGGGCGAAAAGCAAATCAATTAAGTGGCCCAGTCCAAACGGACGTTCTCTTGTAAATAACTGCGACTCGGTAGCTTTGCTCTAACGGAGCTATATGGTAAATGCACGATCATACTCAGAGTCAGAATATTTATTTATGTTGGTGGAATCCGATGAGCTATGAAGCTCTATTTTTTACAGATGTCCATTGTCACGTGGATTATTGCACTGAAATAACCAGCACCTACTGCACCATCATCATAATCACGATTATCATCATAATAGCCATCTGTGTGGCATAAACGTTGAATGCGTCTATCTTCTTTTGACATGTCAGGCTAGAACTTTGTGTTTCTACGCTCATATAAAAATCTACTTCACCTATTAGGCGATCACCCCCCTTGGGATGTACATACACACGGAACCCGTGTACACGTGGCGTCCACTGGACATCTGTGAAAAAAGAGCTTTATAGCTCATCGGATTCCTCCCGTATAAATACATATTCTGACTCTGTCCGTGGTTCCTCTTGCCTCCCAGTCGTTCTCTCTCTCGACGAGAGTGAGCGAATATCATGAGTCACGATGCAAGTTGAACTTATTATATTCACAAACCTACTTGCTGCACTGCCATCTCCTGGACTTGCGGGCATCTCCTGGCCAGGCAGCACGTGTGATCTATGCGATGTTCACCAATAAGCACAGCCTTCAGAGTGCTATTAATCACGAGCAGCATGGCCTCAAAAAACGCAGACGCTATGTTTAGGAGTTATGTTTCCGAGTGAAAAATCATGTAAACTGGAAAAAATGTCCGTAAATTTTAAAACGTATCATGTTTAAAATCAATGGTGCAGCAGGAAATGCACATTTCATAAAACAAAGCATTGTTACTTTATTTGGTATAATTGAGAGGCAATATTTTAGGTAATTCAATCCTATACAATACAGAATGAAGACACATTTTTCCGCCGAGAGTAAGTGGTCGCTGATTGAATGTGCTGGGGTAATTGTGATTTGTTTGAATGCACCGTAATTTTACAACGTATAGCTCTGGCAAAATGTTATAATTTTTACTTTAATATAAACCTGGAACAAATCTGAAGGCAAAGGAATCACTTTAACCACCACATCATAATAATAATAATGTTTTTTCCATGCACTTACCATATTGTATTTCTTCATTGTCATATTTAGCGAATGTTATGACGTTATCCAAAATGTCCTGGCAAATGTTATTTGCAGGGGCAAGATCACATATTCCACATGTGGCAGAAAGACGTGCTCTCACACCACGTTTTTCAGCAATTTGTGAGCAAAATAACGACTGGACAAAGTTCACTGATTTAATCCCTATGATGTGGCACACAAGTATTGTAGGAATAACCCAGCATTGTCTAATCTAAGCATGAGTTAAAATCAGAATAAATTAGATATGAAGAGATCCACTACTATTAACAGTTGCATAACAAAGTGAGCAATGTTGTTCACACTTGTTGTGGCATTGTCGAGTGTTCCTACTAATTGAATAATCTCATTCGCTGATAAGTGATTTAACAATTGCACATCGACTGATACAATTCTTAAATACGCACTCTGGTGCTTTGTCAGAAAGACATGAACAAAGTGCTCCGTATGATGTGTTCAATGAACATCTCTTTTTAAACTTACCTTAAAAAATTGTAATGTCTTCACGTTTTCATCGCTACATTAGTTGTGATTATGTTTCAAACCGTAATTATTCCATCTAGATTTTCAGCAAAAAAAATATATTGCTGTGGGTTTCCCACCTGATGATGATTGCTTGTGTTGCAATCGAAACGTTGTGATTTAATTTATTTTATTTTATACCTACGTGAATTTACCGAAAGAACCAAAGAGTACGTAATTATTCCATCAACGAAAATGTACATTGCATGAGATCATATTTCATGTTTTTTTTTACTAAATATGTAAATACAAACAACCAACCTATTTGGGCCCTGTGGTATGTAACCACTAGTATAGGAAGTCGCATATAAGATAAGTAAGTTATGGAAGATGCCTTCTCCCGTTCAAGTGGAAGTTCATCATGAGCAAAAACTGCAAGACAATGTGACATTTGTTAAGATGATCATATTCATGCAATTATTTTTTTTAAAATTATTATCCTAATCATGTAAAGATTGCACTGAATGTATTTAATAATAAAAAATGTATATGTCTATTTGGTGTAAATTAACGCTCATGTCCCAAGAGTTTTCCTTGAGATAAATTTTCTTAAATCGGCACTATAATGTTGGTTGTATTTTTTGTGTCTTGACAAAACAACATAATCAAGTTGTCCATGGGAAAAAAAGGTTCTGAGAGATAAAGCCCAACAGACTCAAACGTTGGTCCTTGTGACTTATTGACAGTGATAGAAAACACATATAGAATTCAAAAACAGGGCTTGGCTTTCATCAAAAGCGGCGCTGGTATATTTTTGGGAAAAAGAAATATTTTTGTAACAAAAGAATAATTAGTTACAATTTTAATAAGCTTTTCATGAAAAAAGAAATTGGATGAAAATCTACGCAGCCTACCCAGCTTTACACACAGTGTACCAAGTGTTCAGGCGTTAGGCACAGATCACCAAAACCATGCAGTACGTATAATAACAGTTAAGCAATGTGGCTAATGCATTTGTAGTGGCGCACAACCATAATTAACACTGCCTTGACACGTCTGTTGGTTTTATTACGTCAATTTTTTGTAATAAGATGTCCGTGTTACTCTTCAGCGTGCATGATTAATCCACGACTATTAAAAATATCTCCCTGCTTAAACCAGTGATTAATTTCCATCGATGGCTTTGGGCCACCGATGAAAATGCTCCACTGCTAAGACAAAAACAAGCACCGGTGACTTCGAATAAATGAGCACACCATTTATCAACCACAGTGGGATGATGAGGTTAGTAACCCCGACCGGGTTAAAACTCGTAAATTATGCGACTGTTAGCTGACTGCACTGCTACAACCACATGAATGACAAATACGGCAATAATGAATGCTTAACTTGCTCGGTGATATCAGTAGGCATTGCATCGCCCACAGATTGTGAGTGGTGGCAAGTTTAGTGAATCGTCTTTTCTTAGCTAGATGTAAATTATTCTTTGGTTCTTTCGGTAAAGTCACGTATAAAGATAAAATAATAAATTACATAATAGCATACGACGTTTCGATTGCAACACAAGCAATCATCATCAGGTATAATGAAATAGCGACACAAAATCTATATGTCTGTCTGTGGGTTTCTGGTTAGATTTTGTGTCGCTATTTCATTATACCTGATGATGATTGCTTGTGTTGCAATCGAAACGTCGTATGCTATTATTTAATTTATTAGTTTATCTTTATACGTGACTTTACCGAAAGAACCAAAGAATAATTCCTGCAGTCACGAAAGCTCCAAAATTAAGATCGATGTAAATTGCGCCGTATTCCAGCAATTATACCATTGCACACAAGGTGATCGCCGTTTGAAATGGTGGTGTAGTTTTAGTGACAGTAGAATATGCGGCAGTGCCTAAGGAGGAGTAGGCCTGGTCATACCTGGGGGGCGGGAAGCGGGGGAGTGGGGGTGTAATGTGGCATTGCATTGGGAAGACAGAGGGGGTCGGTCAAGCTATTAGGTGGGAAATCCGGGCATTTGAATTTCAATGCAGACCATTCTACCTGTCAGAACAATTCATCATCGACGTTTCTCGTGTTTGCCAAAGAGTTGCACTGATAATTGGGGGCCTTATGCTCTCCAATGGGTCATGAAAGTGGCTTTCTGAGATCTCTTTGCAAGCCATTAGCTTCACTTGACGAAATATAAGGGCATATTAAAGCGCGTAAAATTCAGGAAACTGAGTTTCACTCCAAAGCTTGAAAACGCAGTGTCCTGGAACTAGTGGCCAGCAGCAAGGCGAGTCTGCGCTCACGTTGATGGATTGTAGCACAGTGTCTCCATAAATCCCCAAATCTTCCCAAGGGAGAAAAAGGGCCCCATTCAAGACCAGCCCAAGATTGCCTTTAAAGCCCTGCCTCGAGGCGGTGCCATTGCTAGTACCGCACGAGGAGTCGTAGCTGTGCACATGAATATGACAGCAGTGCCGTGGGGGGATTGGTGCTGTGCAGCCGTCCTTGGGGTTGTGCCGCGTGTTTGTCCGTAGCGAAGTCCGACGTTTTGCTGCACGTGCTCAGAGCTCGAGGACGTCACTGCAGCACGGGATGCAACCCAGGAGAAAGCCGAACACGCATCGGAGAGCTAATAAGGCAACACATTGTTTGGTGATGCTGCAATGGCAGTGGTGCACAAGCACACATAACAACAACAAAGCCAACCCATTCGTCAATACCATTGAGGACTCAAAATTATGAAGTGATGTGTTGGGCAATGACACTTCTGCACAACACACAGCAATGCCTTCTTCATTGCACATTCACAGCACGCGTCGTGCTATGAAGAAGGGCCATTTCCCAGAATGTCACCTTATCTATATTATTGATGAATTGTGTTGCGTTTTAAATAAAAGAACGGGTCACAGTCTAACACTGGGAATATCGCTCACTGACCGTACTGCCTGGCTGGCAACTGCAGTTGGTTCACAGCGTTTGACTTAAAATGAATAAGGCTGCATATTCAAGTAAGTGATCAACACAGCCTACGTGTTGATTAAATTATTTCATCTTATTTAGATTTATATAGCGCCTTATTCTAAGGCTCTTTACAGAAATTATAAATTGTACAAACAGTGATAGCGGTTGAGATAAAGAGTATGGTTATTATAAGTGGCGGTGCAGTTATTGAGGCAGTTGGGGGAACAGGCAGGAAAGCTTCAAATCTAGGTTAAGGAGGGATTGGGGTTAGGGTTAGTGATAGGTTCAGGGTTGGTGATAGGGGTAGTGATATGGGTAGTGATAAGGGTAGTGATAGGGTTGGGGGTAGTGATATGGGTGGGGTTAGGAATAGTGATAGGTTCAGG